CTCAATATGAAAAATCATGTGATATGATGTCATTTCGACTATTTCGCGACTTTAGCCTTCAATGGTCGAAATGATTTTGATCATTTCGACCATTTTGGATATCCGAAATGATCTATTTCGACTTCATGTATAGACTGAACGCTTTATATGATGCATTCATTAAGGTGAATATTTTAGATCAGAACATATATTAGCTCTAATGCGAGCACTTTAATAAGACAGGATTACAATATAGGAAAATTTGTTTATAGCTATGGAACCCCATTCCATGATTATATATTTTTTTCACATATCATATCTATCTGCAGATTTCAAATCGATAAAATATCCTTTTTGACTAGGTCATAGGTTATATTATTATTTTTGCTTATCTGACCTTACCGACCATGAATGGGTACTAGAGAGATCATGTAGTAAATTATCGGGAATATTTTTCTAAATTGAACTTTTTTATGCGTAGTATAATCTAACGGTTTAGTACAATCTAATAGTTGATCTATAATCTCTATTTACATTATCATGTCTGCAATTATAACAAAGTATGTTACAGATCACAAACTCAACCCAAAGATGAGTAATGGAGAGCTTAGTCAGTATGTATCAGAATTACTCAAGCTCTTGACAGATGAAACGAAAAGAGATAAAGGTTGTCGACGTCTTAAAGATGGATATAGTTTTAGCAAAGAGCAGATATCTATACTAGTCCCCTCTCAAAGAACTGGTTGAGCTAAAATACAAGTAACTTCTCAAGAAGAGGAGTCAGAAGCGGAAGTAAATATATGCCAAGTATCTGATATTATTCCAGAAGAAGAGACTATCAAAGAAATGGCTCAGCATATTATAATGAGATAATCTTAGCAAAAAAGAGGTGGAAGCAATACGTAGAATCTTATTCGAAACAACTACTGATGTTGTTGTTGGTTCATCACATATTCAGAGCTCGAAGGAATTGTGAAATCTCAATGCTCCAGAAGTAATAACCTCTGCTATGTTTGACCGAGAAACAACTTATGCATCTAACAAAATTCAAAAGGTGCAAAGTGGTCAATGTGAAAATGAAGGAATCAATTTCCCAGATCTTTTATCATTAAAATCTGTTAAAGAGAGACTGGATTTATATGATGTGACTAATATATCTAAGAAACTGGCTCTAGTTGATGTAATGATCATGTTATACATTCGTCCTTCTGAAATTAAAAACTTGCGCATATCTAATGAAGGTGTAACTGGTTATACAAAAAATCAGGGTCAATAAGATATTCATCGAGTCTCTAGATCGCTGAAAATGAATGAGAAACGGGCAAAAGTATTGCTTATATGGATTCAGGAAGCAATATCTTCTAGAAATTTAGGGGATCCAGGAAGTCCTGGAGTTAAATTCTTAAATAAATTTCTGAAAAAGGATGAATTTATTACCGAAACAGAAAGTCGTGAACCATTACTTCCTAGCTCTTTGCGTAAATTAGGATCAGTATTTTCAAGTGAAATGCATAGTCCAAAAAATCCATCAAAAGCTAATACTTATGCCAGTGAAGCCCTTCAGCACAGCCTTGACAACCATTCTTCTCAATCTAAGAGATACACTATAGTCAATATGCATAAAAGAGGAGAACTGTATCATTAGGCAAAAGCATTCAAACTCTTCAATGAGAGCTAAAAAATACTAGTAGAGGACTCGTATTTTATGTTCATTTTTTTATATATAAATTTCACTGGTTTATTGATAAATATTCATAGTAATTAAATATCTTAACACTTATTGTGTATTGTTGAATCAATATATTCCCAGCAATACCCCCCAGCATGAGAACGAATATTTTTACATACTGCACCAATATTTTGGCTTTTAATTCCAGAAGCACGCTCTGCCTCTTTTAATGATAAAAATTCTTGTGTAGAACCATTAGGAAAAATCTGTTTAACAGTACGTTTATATCCATTTCATAATTTATAAGATACTGCATGTTGCATATTCTCTTTTTATGTACACTATTCAAGATTTGAAGCTTTATTATTAGTAGGATTCCTATCAATATGGTTTACATAATTTTTTTCTTATTCTTTTAGGCAAAAAGCTAGTGCTACTATATGATGGACCATATATTTCTGGTATCCACTACAAATTCGAAAATACTTTCCACTTAATGAACCTTGTGTAATTATTCCATTTAGTAACCGGATTCTACCTAAGGATGATACTTTGAATTTTTCTGAATTGATCTCCAACTCCTTCTATTCTTCATTGGGATCAGATCCTATATAATTATCATAATATATCCAAGCCCATTCACCTGTAATATTTCATTTTTCCCTACAACATGCAGTAATATTTTTTCTATTAATATTAAGTGTAATACCTGCATGATTAGCTGAATCCCAAATCTGAATAACGTTTCCATCTAATGTTTTTTGCATAACTTTTCTAGATCTACTACGACCAGGATTTGGAAATACTTTACGATTAGCATTTTCTTTTGGGAACACACATTCTAAATTATCTGCTTGATTATCAGTTTTAATACCATTAATATGATTAACAAAAGGTTTATTTTCTGGATTAGAAATAAAGGCTTCTGCAACTAGTTTGTGAATATTAACAGGTGTATAATTATTGTTTCTACCAATCTTTGTTTGTGCATAACCATGTCCTTTATGAATACTTCCTTCTGAAATTCTGCTATTTTTATTTTTGATACGTCCGATATTAGAAATAAAGTAATCTGCTTCTACTATAGGTAACAAAATCTCCATTTTAAAATATATTGTTTTATTTTTTTAATTTGGATTAAAGCCTCATATAATTATTATTCACCAGACAACCATGCCTCCCTAGCATAAAACTACATTATAGTCAATATGTGAAAAAGAAGAGAACCATATAACCGGGCAAGGTCATTCTGAATCTCCAATGAAAACTAGCCACATAGAAGGTTAGGGGTCTCTATGAGACCACAGAATATCATTTATTAATTTATTTTTTCGCTCAAGGTAAGATATAGCATATATAATATATCACAAAAATGGTAACTGATCAAAAGCATTCATTTAATAGTACACCTAGCGAGCAGAAAGTTATCAGATGTACAGAAAAATTAGCCCAGTTATTAAGACTAGATGTACAGATGTTATAGAATCGCCTACAAAATACAAAAGTAAATAACGTGCTTTTTAGTGACAATAAAGATGTAGACGAACTACTTGCTATTGGACATGGTAATTATAGCAAAAAATCCATAAATACTTCATTTGAGTCCAGTTCATCAGAATCATCTAATTCTGATATTGATAAAATAGTAAAGATGATTAAACATAAAAGGATTCGGGAAAAGATACGAGAATGCCAAGCCCAAATGGTAACTGATCAAAAGCATTCATCTAATAGTACAGATATTGAGCAGGAAGTTATCAGACGTACAGAGAAAATAGCCAAATTACT